AAGGTGCCGCCGCTGCCGCGGCCCCTGCGGAGCCTGGAGGTGAAGTACACCAAGGTGAGCTGGCGACGGGAGGTGGGCAGCAGGCTTCGCCGTGGTGTCACTGATGCTTGGTGGAGTCAGGCTGGTGGTGAAGTAATAGTTTTTTTAATATAAAATTTTCTCCCTCACTGTCATTTATTTTATTTTTTTTTAATTCCTCCTGCTGCTCTAGACAGTAGGCTTATGGGGTAAATAAGGGTGGTTGAGTGAGTGGAGCAAGCAGATGACCGTGGCATTTCCAGGGGAGCTGCAGTTGTCCCAAACTCTAAAGCCCAAGAAACCAACTTTTTTCTAGAGAAAAAAAATGCAGAAAAATTAAAATACTTGCGGTGCTGCCACCCCAGGTGCCCACTGGCACCTCTCCCTGGCTGTGTGGCAGGCCCCGGTGCTGATCGGCAGCAGGCCTGCTGTGTGAGGGCTGTGGTGCCACACTGGCCTGTCCCCTCCCGGCCACCCTGGCAGCCATCTTCCCAAGCACCCAGTGCAGCACTCACAAACCCGCATGGTAAATGCTTTTAGCATCACGTTAGCGCTCAGCAAAATCGGATTTGGAGGGTGTGAGCCTAGGCAGAGGCTAGAAAGCCTTTATCCGTGAGGAAGCTGCTTGTCTGTGTTTTGTTCAGCTGTCCTCGACCTGGTGTGAAGCTCCCCTGCGGTGGGATGGGGCCCTGCTGGGAAGGGGTTCAGTGCCAGGAAGTGTTTTTGGGCCCTGGTGAATGCAGGGAGCATGGAGGAGGGCCAGCGTCCTGCAGGACTGGGCCTTATGAAAGGGCTCGTGTGATGGGACTGGGGCCACCCCACAGTTCCCAAAGAGGAGTGGCGTTCACGCACATCTTGTTGGTGGCTCACTGTCCCGACAGAGCTCCTCCATGGCCTCCCCGCAGGATGAGGAGTCAAGCAGCAAGCGCACACAAAGATGCATCTCTCCACTCTCCATCGATCTTCCTTTTAAAAGACCTTTAAACAGTCACTCCTGACCTTTTGGATTTACCGAAGGCTTCTGAGCTTGATAACCCTGTCCCTCAGAGGTGAGGCTGGCGTTGGTGTGGAGCTGAGCACCGCTGTGGAAACCCCTGCTCCCTAACACAGCCGCAGCTCTGCAATAGCCGAGTCTCTTTTTGTTCCACAACAGCCTGACCCGCTGTCTTGCGCAGTGGGGAAAATATCCTGGCTGGTTACGCTGCTAGGCAGCCTTGACTGCCATAATTTGAACTATGTGGCTGGACTAAAAGAGCTGGAGGGGCTGCATGAGCGTATTAACTACTGTTATGTTTCTGTATCAAGTATTAAAAAAAAAAAAAAAAGCAGAACTTGAAGTTCATTCCCTTGCAGTGAGAAGGAGTAAACAGCGATAGCTTATCCACTGAGGTGTTGATTTGAATTATGCATCTGAAGTACTGAAATGGATTAACAATTAGTGATAATCACTGAACTGGATTAATTTTTAACATCCCAAATTTATCGACTTTTTTCTTTGTAAGGTAAACTTGTCATTTGGCAGCAAATTGGATCTGCAGCTGCTGATTGCAGAATGGCGTAATGCTGCACAAACAGCTCTTTCCTGTGTCCAAAATGGACCTAGCCATTAAGGTTCTTCTTAAACATTCAAATGTTCTGTTTTTTGTTATTTTTATTGTTGTGAACACTTTTAAATACTCCTCTGGGATCTGATCCTGTAGCCATGTATGTTTTAAAACACGGGTTTTTTTATTCTCCAGAGTTTTACCAGAGACTCTGTTCACTGAAGGTATCAAGGTAGTCTCTTAAAAGTGGAAACCAATGTCAATTAAAAGTGTGAATCTGACATTTGATCTGATGCTCCTGATGCATCTGAGAAAATAATGAGCCACAGTCAGTTTTATGAAAACTGCAAGGGGTTTTCTACAAGCTCTGAGTTTCACCAGATGTTTACAGCTGACGGCGCACTTTGCTTAGCGGAGATTTTTATTTTCAGTTCTACTAGTTATGGGGCTGGGGGAGAGGAAAAATTTTCAACAAAGATCTTACTTATGGAGCAGCTTAATGCTTGTCATGGATGTGTGATGGAAGTGATCTGTCCACAGTCCCGTGTCCCAGATCCTGGGCATGAAGCACGAATGGCTGTTATGCTGTTCTGTTTGATTTCAAGTCCTGGCACCAAAGACTCAGGCTATGTGGTGTGATTCCCAGAATGATGCCACTGTATTTCTTACATTTAAAACAGCCTGATCCTGTCACTCTTGTGTTGTACTATTTCTTATAGGAACATTGCTTTCCCATCCCAACCCTTTCACATAGAATTAATGGTGAATGTGGAGGAGAAATGGGATCCTTCCCCAATCCTTAGCTTGTAAGCGTATACCCGATGCTGTAATTTTACAGTTCCTGTCATATCTCCCACACTTATAATATGACTTTTTTCATTAGTGAAACAAAGGAAAACTGAAGTTAAAATGTGTAAATGTTAAAATGCAACATTTGGATAATAGAGGTAATTTAGGAGCATTTGTGTCAGTTAGTTAATATTTCTAATATTGTATCTTTTCTGTGACTTTACTTGACAATTTTTTTTTCCAAAATTTTCTTTTCCTCTGCCTATCTGAAACAGGTAGGTCCAAAAGTGCAGCTTCTATGCCAGTTACATCTCTGATGCTTTTTGCAGAAATAGTCAGGAGAAACTCCTTTCAGGAAAAAAGATGCCCAAGGAAAGAAATCTATGACCCAAAGCAGAGGGAATTCCAAATGTAAGGGATGCAACATTAATCTCCTGGTGGTGTGTAGAGACTCATAAACAAGATTGCAAATGTGGATGACTTCCAAGTAAAAGTACTAGCTTACAGCCGCTAACAGGCTACTAATAAAGATTACTTCATCTAATCTTACTTAAAGTATATTTATAAAATATAACACTGCCAAGTTAGATCACAGTGTGGATAAGATGCATGTTGAATCAATTAATTGTATATAGGTATTCATGTTCTGTTTACAGTGAGTAACAACACTCTAGTATTTAATGCATTTTTAGTTACGCAACACTGGGACTGTTTGTTCTTGTTCTGGAAATGCAATATTTTGAAACACTTAAATCTTGAATCTTGTCACAGACAACTCCAAGTGACGTGGGAGGCTTGATCTAGCCTGTAACAAGGGTTGGTGGGGTAGAACTAAGCCAGTACTTACCCTCCTCTGGACAGTGCTGGGGGGAGGGGGGGGGGCAAGTTATGGAAGTAGCCCAGGGCAGGATACAAACAACCAAGTAATATTGTATGCTGACATTTCATTTATAGTGTGTAACAAGGGGCTCCTTTTGCCTGAACCATACAAGTTTCTCTTGGTGTCTGCTTGCTGTTCCCATGGAGATGTATTTCAAAAACTGTCTGTTTCTCATTGCCAAATTGTGGTGTTATGTGTGGGCCCCATCCTCTGTCGTCCTCTTGCTCAAAACTAACTGGGTGCATGAAGGCTTTTTCATCTGTTCTCTGGCTCAGGTTCTAGTTTGGATAAATGCTGTCTGTATCGCAAATAGTCTCCCTGGGAGAGAGACTGAATACGCTTGACTCTGCCATCAATGGAAACTGAAGAGCCTCGGGACCTTTGAGGAGTACTTGTGGTTTTTTGCATTGTCTACATCAGTGGATTTTTTTTTTTCTCCTCCCCATCCCACTCCCCTTGCTCTCTCTTCAGATATTTATTAACAATGAATGGCATGAGTCTACAAGTGGAAAGAAGTTCCCCACCTACAACCCTTCAACGCTGGAGAAAATTTGTGACATTGAGGAAGGAGACAAGGTAAGTGTTGTTGGAAAGGCAGTGCAAAAGACAGTTTCCAAGGGACTCCCTTTTGCAGGGAAGCACACAGAGGAAAAGCTGGCTTTTAAGACAACGTACATCTGGCCAGACTATGAGCTGGAGGTCTGGGACACTAGATGTGCTGCTCAAGAATTACACTGGGTGGGTGGGATAAATCCTGTCCAACTCAGCAGAGTCACTTTCCCTGGTAGGAGCTGCCTGCCGAACACTGTCAGAGGAATGAGATTTAGCATTGTTCTTGTGTTACAGACTGGAAGGAAGCACCCAGTCTGAGGAAATAGCAATGATGGCATATGCACATCCCTGACAGAACTTGGGCCTCATGTTGGGAGTGCTTTATAAGCAAGCCGCATGGCAGCCTGTTGGAGACACTGAACTGGAACCTGCCCTTTTTTAAACACAATCAAAGAATAACCTGAGTGCTTTGGGGAATTTAAGCTCAGTCATGCAAACACTGCCCACTTTCTGCTAGAGATGTGGTGCTGGTTTTCCAATTGGTGTCATGGGTTCTGGCCTCCTGTGCAAATGTGGCAACTCCCAGTTAAAATCAAACCAGTATCTCTCAAGAACTTTAGTAGTCCCTAGCCCTGGTGCACTGTAGAGTAGCCTGGGGCATAACTGCTTGGGTTTGGTAACAGTCTGAGGATAGAAACAATCAGATGTGATACTTTCTGTCCAAAACAGCTCATCACGTATGGGATAACTGGCCTGATCTATTTGAGAGAGCTGGCCCAAGAGCTGGCTTTTTGCAGTATGTCATGGGAAGGTGATTCACAGCTTCTCCACTCTACCAGTGCTTTGGCTGCTCATTGCTGGTGGCAGTAAGTGATGGGCAGTGTGAGCACTTCTGCCCGTACTCTGGTATCTTTTTCTTGGTATCTAAGGTTGTCCAACACTTTTGAGGCCCAGTGCCTGGTTTCCAGCCAGGTGGTTACCTTGGGGATCCTTTCCTAGTAGGAGTGGTACTAGTTGAGCAGGGGCAATGTGTTTTCTGCTATTATACTGTGTAGAGTATAAAGCCTGACACCTCTGGAGATGGGAGCAAACTTGTTTGGCAATATGTATCTCCAGCCTGCATGCAAATAGTGTGTAAGGTAGCTGTTCTTTTTGGATGGCACTAAAGCAACCTCTGAGACCTATTGCCAGGGGGAATCTCTGCATCCAGGGGTCAATTACAGATTGAGGCAGAAACAAACATTATCTGTAATTTCTTTATACAAACTGGGTAGGACACAACTGTGTTTAGTTGCAATGACATGTAAACAGTGTAGTTGAAGCTAACTCTGATGCAACTGTATTTTGCTAGGCAGAAACCATGACGTTGTTATTGTTTCAAGAGATCGGTGTCCCCTCAAGCAGTTACAGACCATTACATGAGCATTTAAAGCCTGCTTCTTAATGGCTTGGTTAAAGAAAATTGTTATGCAGAACTAAACAACCAGTTTTGCATCTTGCCTCCCTGAGACTTGTCCCTGCCTGAATTCAAGGATAACTTTCAGCTTCTGGCTGGCAGGAGAGTCACTGTAAACCTTTCCTTGGGGCCAGTCAGTGGAGGCTTCTGCCAGTGGATGCTCAGCATAGGTGGCTGACTCCTTGGCGCATAGAATAATTGCAGGAAAGAATGTAAGTTAGCTGTACCTTGGGTGCTGAAAGCCTCTTCTTCCACCCCTTTACGTCACACATTTTTTTACAAAACTGGGATTTTTTGCTCTAAGTAGGTTTTTGTGAGGGATTGAGTGGGATTAGATTGGGATCTGGATTAGTTAGAAAGCAATCACGGGTGAGAAGCATCCCAAACTAGCTATTTGGCTACTGGTTTGATCATGTTCCACTGTCCTCTAGCAAACTGAGTCCCTTGTGACTTCCTTTGCCCTGGCTGAACATCCCCTCCTAGGTGTGTAACTCCAGTCTGTTGGAGTTACCACAGAAAGCGGTAAGTTGTGTTTGGTGGTGCTTTCCAGTGTCTTATCCCCACGTGCCACCATACTTGGTTGTGCTGGTCAGTACCACGGCAGGGGTGGCAGTTCCTGGAACTGGCTGTGTCTTCAGCTGTGCTGTGCCAGGGTTGGCTCTGGCTTCGCAGCAGGCTGGGAGCAGGACTCCACTTCCCCAGCACTGAAGAGCAACCTGCCCCTCCCTGGCCACGCAGTGTATTTTGCTTAGGCTGCACGTGAGGGGTGGGAATTTGGCAGCCTATATCTCAGCAATGACAGTTTAGTCTGGTGCTGAAACTTGGCCAATGCTTTATGAGGCTAGGAGCAAAGGTTTTGTTGTTTGTTCTTTAGATGCAGGATTTAAGACAAAATTGCCCTTGATGGGATAGTTGGGATAAAGGAAAATCTTGTGTGGAAAAAGAAGCGCTGAAAATAAAACAGCAAATGATTCCACTGGATGCTTGGAGGCTTTTTGCCTCCTAAATAACGGCTTAGTGTACAAGTGTTTGCCAGGTTGATAATAGAGAAGGAATATCTTTCTTCATTAGACTTCTGCCCCCGGTGAATAGTGCAGCACCAGAACTTCCACCCTGTCTTGGTGTTACCATGGGAAGGCAAAAATACTTGCACCACTGTCATTTCTCTGGTGCTGTTGATAACACTTGAAGACAGGCTTTCTTCTTCTATGAGCTTGCTAACATCCACCAAGGGCAAGGGGAGAAGGTGCTCCTTCCTCAAAGGAGTGGCCAGCTCAGCTGGCTGCCACAGAGTGTGGGCAGCAGGTCCACAGCTGTAACTGTTGAGCAAACTTGATGCTGTGGAGCATCTGTCATGATTGTTTCTAAGCAGTTTGCTCTCCCGTGTGGATCTTTGAAGGGTGGTAAGAGGGGTTTGTTCACAGTCATTCTGCCCCCCTCAGATTGCAGTGGCAGGCTGAGATAAGAGGCTGCAGGATTATTACTCCCTACAGCAGACTTTCAGTGCCCTCAATAATGGTTTTGTATGCTTCGGGCTGTTAAGATGCTGGTTTGAACTTGGGTTCAAAAGTTAGAACAATGCAATGTGTAGACTGTTTGCAGAGGGTTTGCAGGGGAGAAAGTCAAGGAATCTCTTCTAACTGAGAGACTGTAGAATGCCCATGTCAGAAAAGTGCCTTTCCAAAGATGTGCACAATAGAGGCTTTCTGAAGAAGTTAGTAATTGAATTGAAGAAAGACAGTCTCCACTGGGTGTGCTTCATCCCTGGCATGTCTCCTTACTGGCCAAACTGAAGTAGTGTTGTACACCCTGGGCCTGAAGCACAGCAGTGCTGTTTTGCAGGTGTTTTTTCCTACTTGCAGAGCCAGTGGGGTGATGGTCTCAGCTGTGCTTGGCAGCCTGCTGCTGAGGCAGGAGAGAGGAAAAAAGGGCAGGATAGAAATGGAGCAGCAATAAGCAGGACTTGAGGTGGAGGAGGTAGCTTAGAACAAAGAGCGTTATGAGTTTGTTCAGGGGAAAATGGTATGCAGTTGTGTAACTGGGGGTTGTATCATAATGCAAACATCCAGGGTGGGTATGAAGGTTTGCAGGCATTTCCCAACGCTGCAATGCTTGACTTTGCAATCTTAATATTCTCTTAGTGGAGCTTTTTATGTAATACTCAGTAAATCTGTATAGATCAGAACTGAGCACCAGTATGCAGGGACCTCCTCCTCCTTGTGGTTTTGTATACCATAGTGTGTCTCTGGCACCTTGACAGTTACGAGTCTCTTTGTCACGCATTGTGCCTACCTATTGCAACACGCCTGCAATGAACATGCCATTCAGACTCCCCTAATGCCTAGTCATAACAGGATGGATTAAGAATGGCATTTCAGCCTTCCTGAAGAATTTCCTTGTTTTTGCTGGTCTCTCACGCCTATTGAGGCTGTGCAGGCGCACAAGATCTCACTTGGTGGTGCTGTCCCTGAGGGTGTTTTGGGAAGGCCTTTTTGCTTGTGTGGTAGTAACTGCAGTCTCCAAGCTGCTATGTGTACCCAGCATGTCCAAGAAAAGAGACAAGAATGAAGACAACTAGTATTTGCAGGAGCTGCAGCAGGGCTCAGGTGCTCCCATGTTTATGGGATGGGGAAGACCTGGGCATGCACTGAAGTCTTCTGCCCACAAGCCATCTCATCCCTGTTCCTGTGAGTGTCAGGGTGGTGGGAAGTCCATCGGTACTCAGGGCATACTGTGCTGTGGCCTGTGCTTCTGCAGACCCAATGGTCTGCACATCCGTGCTTCCAGCCTGGTCACAGAAGCTAATTAATTGCTGCTAAGGGAAGACTTGTTTAAACTTGACATGCTTCTTGTGTTTCTTTGTCTGCTTTGTCACATAAAATATTACCTCCTTTCAGCTTGAGTCTTCATTCCAGCAGGCAGGATGGGGAGTACATAAGCATGTAGTGGCTGGTGGTGCCTTCTGGCTTTTGTGATGGGCCAGTTTGAATCCAGATCAACTCAACTGGAGCAAAATGTTCCAAAGGCCCATTCTGCCTGTAGGTGATGGGCCCCAGGCAGGACATGCCTGCCAGTGCACAGCAGCTGCTTGCTACGTCGGCCTTGCCAGCACCCTTCCTTGACCAGAGCCATTCTTAACCCCTTGTAGCAGCACAAGTTTCCTCTAATAGTTTCCCCATCAGTGCCTTTCCAAAAGGGTGGGGTTCTTTTCCTGGCAGTATAGGTCAGACTGTTTTAAAGCTGTGTAATCTCCTTGTAAAGAAAAGGAGCCAAACTTAGTGTAAGGTGGCATTTCAGTGGGTGATGACTTGCTGTTTTCTCCATGAACTTTTGCTGTAAGAAAGCAATGTGTCTCACCATAACATTTTTCTTGGTTGAGCACCACACATTTCCCCATGAGGGGGGAATGGCCAGACGTTGTTGGATCAGTACAGAGGATTACTTCTTAATTGTTCCCAGAGACTTGAGATAAGACATAAATGAGAGCAACTGGTGAAGTGCTATGAGGAACGATCAAGGCCTGAAACTCTCCCTCCTTTCCCACCCCTTGAGCCACATATTGTGGTGAGGTGCAAGTTCTCTGTCAGCTGAAGTGAGGCATGGGCTGTGCCAGACATTACGTAGAGCAAGATTCTGTCCAAGGCCAGGGCAAAATATGCTTTATGTATGCTTGGGGTACAGCCTTGGCCTCACCAATGTTGATGGCAGTGTTCCCATTGACTTCATTGGGTCGGGAGGTTGCCTTTAGCTTTACTTTTTTAGCCAACATATGTGGGAAGAAGGGAGGAGTCCAGGGCATACCGTGGCCAGAGCAAATGCATGAAGCTTCTCTGGGAGGAGGGGGTATGGGGAGACAGAGAATTCACTGTCCACCTGAGTAGTAACTTGGGTAAAGAAGGTTAGATTTGGTCTAGAGCATGGTAAAGCAGTTGGGAGATGAAGGGATGAGTGGCACTAAATCTGTGTAGGTGAAATGCTTTTGTCATAGCACTGAACAATAAAACCCTTTCCATCTGGTAGAAGTGTTCTGGAGCTGTGATCTAGAATCTAAGGGAGTTTTTTTTAGTGTGTTAACTGTTACTAGCATGGGTTCCAGTGGGACTGAATGGTGGGATCTGAGCTTTGATTGTTCCCCTGGATAAAACCGTGATCTCTCTCATGAGGGACTTTCCTTCCTACACTTGTTCAGAGGAGGATGATTCATGTAGGCCAAGGGCCTGTCATGCTTAGGGAAGCTGTAATGGGAACAGAATTGGAATCTTGTTTCTTCATCCTCCCCCAGTGTCACTTGCATCCTGTATCAGTAGGAACATGATTCTGGATTATTGTATAAACAAACCAGTTGCATAAAATTACCTTTGAAAGACTCTATTGGTACTCTGACCCCAAGGTTGTTTATGAGCCCAGGCCAACCCCAAAACTTATTGCAGGCTTGGGTCCAAATCCAGGAGTAAAATGGAAGTGGCTTTGTCAGACAACTTGGTTTTAGCCATCACATCATCTAGGAAGCAGCTTGATGGGATTTCTGTGCAATTGTCCAGCTCCTTCCTTGTAACCTAAGGTTTTCTTGCGTATGTGGCTACTCTAGCCTGATGTGGATAATGCGGTGGAAGCAGCAAAGGCAGCATTCCAGAGGGGGTCTCCGTGGAGACAGATGGATGCCCTAAGCAGAGGACAACTCCTGCACAAGCTGGCTGATCTTCTTGAGCGAGACAGAGTCATCCTGGCAGTAAGTACTGTGATTGGTGAGCAGTGATAAACCAGCGACTGTTGGCTGATAACGCGGCTCCATCCATCTGATTTTGCTGCATCCATAAGATCTACCTAATGTTTTTCTTTTCTCTCACTTTATGAAGGGCAGAAGAGTACATGCAGGAGTCATGGCTTACCTTCCTCTTTCTGCAGGATGATTTTAGAGGCCTTAGAAGAAGGCCGTTAGTTTTTCTAGATAGTTGACTTCTCCAAAACTTCAGCTAGTTATTGAAGTGATTACAAATATTAATACTTAAATTTTCAAAGCAATAAACATTCTTTCTTAGTTTAACAGTCATCAATGTTCATAGCTGTCTCCCAACTCTTATCTTAAAGGCAAACAAAAACCACAAAACAAACAACAAACAAACAACAAGAAAAAAACCAAAACCCAAACCACCATGACTTGGTTCTTTATTGCAAAAATGCAAGGCCAATTTGACTTCTTTGCAAATTGCTTCCCCTAAAATGGGGGCTGGAAAGAAAATCTTTCTCTTGCTGGATGTCATCCAAAGTTTAAAATGTGTGTAAGTGG